CCAAAAACAAAACTATAGCTGTATCTACATAGCTACGAGTGACACCTTCATCTTCAAAAGAGCCCAATCTCTCTCTCTCTCTCTCTCTCTCTCTCTCTCTCTCTCTCTCTCTCTCTCTCTCTCTCTCTCTCTCTCTCTCTCTCTCTCTCTCTCTCTCTCTCTCTCTCTCTCTCTCTCTCTCTCTCTCTCTCTCTCTCTCGTAAAAGATATAATGCCTGAAACATGCACAGTTGTAAAATTAAACACTATCAGCATCATTTAAAAGCTATGATTTTTTTTAAATTGTGAATATGTTGTTGTCGTCGTCGTTGTTGTAGGGTTTAACGTCATTTTTTAAAGCACCTGATACATGGCGAACAGTATAAATGGTGAAAAGAACTAGGGAAAACCCCGGAAAGAACCATCGATCCACTAGAAGCTACAGGCAAGCTTTCTGACATACCCACACTGACCGAATCCGAGACTCGAACACACGCAGACAGAGGTGAGATAGCAGTGATTCGTAACGGTGAGCGCTTTAGACCACTCGTCCACTCGGGGCCCCATTGTCATTTTCAAGATATCATTACGCCAAGGGTGTTCAGAAGCATTCATGCCGTTCTCCATGTAGTTGACCTGTTCTCTGCAAATGAAGAGGAATGCAAAGCATCGTGCAAACGCGAAACTGACACGCAATGGCAGAGCAGTGTTGAAAGCACTCATGAAATTGTGTCAGAAGCAATGTGAACCTTGGGTGCACTGCCAAAGATATACTATGCACAGCGTGTTCTGTGCATGGTACTATATTTAGCAATTAAAACAACCAAATGCACTGCATTGGAAGGAGTGCACCTTACATCAGTCCAAAAGAGATATAAGCCACTAGTTTACAGAGGTATGGCTTGAATATAAGCATTTAACTATACGTTAGGTAAAATTGGAAACTTGTGAATGAGTGATTTAAAACAAGAACGGTTCCAAATGTATGGTGTTCACAGAGGAAGCTAAAAAAAGTTTCTTTTTCAAGAAAAATGTATTACATATGTGAGAGAAATATAACTGAAATTTAACAGATTGTGATCACTTAACAGGCAGGTATTGATTTTCAATACATAGGAATGTAATTTTAATTTTAAATATTAAAAGTACATACCATTGTTTATACATAGTTTGTCTGGTTATGACAGTCACTGATTAATCTAGACATTCGTGTAAAAACGATCCAAATAGAGAGGTAAATATAATACCCAACAACGTCGATAAATGAAAGAAGAAATAGAAACAAATAGTTAAACAAATAATCAGGTTTGTAGCCAGTTTCGATTCATGAGACAGTCTACAGAAAATATGACAAAAACATTTAAGTGATGAAAAATTCACAGAAACGCTAAAACAGTCTTCAAACATGTAGCCTAAATATTTGAGAAAAGATATTTACCCCCTAGTAATAAATGGAGAGCTTTGAGATGTCTAAGGAACAGCAATACTACTAAGAGCTATGCCAACCAATCCGAATAAAATCCGATTTTCACTGTCCTGCGTGAAGATCTGATAGCAAAACGGCTTAAAGGTCATGTTCTGGTGACCTATGTTATTACCATAGTCGCTAATTTTATTATCCAATCAAATGAAGTCTTACACCTTCGCGTTTGGTCGACTGAGCAGTATTGTTGTTGCTCTGAAAGCTGCATTTTCATTGATTAATTGAAACCAGAACGAGACCTTAAGCGGTTGCAGTCATATCTTTACTAAACTATATGTACTCACTTAATACATAACCAAATTCACTTTCCAAACAATTAAATCATAGCTAAATTTCACTTTACTCGCCAATTGATTTACAGTGACAAAATTTAGTCACAGTCCACGTTTCATCATATTAGTAGTGTTGAATTTTTTAGTACAATTCCCACGCTTTGACAGCATCATCTGACGACTCTTCTCTACTTTTTTCTGCGTCTAATATGTGTGCTTTGGTCTATTTGACCCTTGAATATTCCAACCTCTCGTAGATTTGGTCTGCCTCTTGACTCATCGGGTTCCTTGACTTATCCCTGCATATCTCTCTCTCTCTCTCTCTCTCTCTCTCTCTCTCTCTCTCTCTCTCTCTCTCTCTCTCTCTCTCTCTCTCTCTCTCTCTCTCTCTCTCTCTCTCTCTCTCTCTCTCTCTCTCTCTCTCTCTCTCTCTCTCTCTCTCTCTCTATGAGTTTGAAACTGCTTCCTTAAATATATAGTATGCCTCACGCTAGACAAATTCATATACACATCTACATATATAGATAACTAGATTGGTTCGTATCAGATAATGGAATCGCACTGCATAAATTCTGACATAATGTTATCTTAGCGAATATCTGTTTATAAATGTTGTTTAGAGACAGTACTGTTACTTTAGTACAAATAACCTTAGCTCGAAGTTCATTTCACTCCGTGGCCAATTGATAATTAATTGCCACGTGCTTTCTCAGACGAAAGCAGCCGAATATACCAGAATACAAGAATACATCATTAAACGTATTTAATACCTTTGGCTAATCAATGCAGTTCAATAAAATAAATGCTCAATTACTCATGGCATAATATCCACTAAATCTAGCTACACCAAAGTAACTTGCATGATCATTTAAATATTGCGAAATCATATATAAATATACACTTGTCATTAACTCGCAAGAGCAAAAATCATCCTATACATAGAATCAATTCATATATCCTAAGAAATATGACACATTTGTATTTTATGGTGAATTCATAAAATCCTTATGAAATTCTACACACTGAATATTTAATTACATATAATCCGTTAATTCTCTGATAGAATTAATAATTGAAAAATAAAAGAATTTAATGACATAGAACTAACATATCAATAGAGTCCTACGAAATGAATACGCGATGCATGCGTGAATCATAAGCATATCAAAACATCTGCAAACAAACCAAACAAACGAAATGGAATATTAAATTGGAAACTAAAATTGCGTACCTTAATAGAGTTTCTTTTCAAACAAAGTGTCCTAGCCTAAAGTCTGTCCTTCTTTTAAAGATAGCTGTCTGGCCCTTTTCTACAAGATTCTGAATCACGAAGAAGAACGACTCTCTAGGCTTCTCCGGAATCAGTCTAATCCTTCTTTAAAGGAAAAATCGGACTAAAGAAGTTTGGCAAGTGGTATCCCTAAATTATTTCCCAAAGTGTACGCCCTTAATTTTCCTGACCAATCGGAAATAATAGCTCATAGAATTTCCCTCCAAGTAATCGTGTCCATCGTCGGAATTCACTAGCCTAAAATATTCTGCAATTAGCTACCTTTGAAAAATCAATTATTTGACGTGTGTTCCTTTTTGAAAAGTTAAATTCGAGTTCTATCGTGCGCGTGTCACTGTACCAGCAACTTTTACCAGGTCATATGCTGTTGGGGCTTAACATAACTCCTTTTGTGTTCAGAGATGAAAAAAGAAAACATCAATGAACTTTCTCGCGACCTTTTTGGCTTGACTACGTTAACTTCAAAGCACAATTTATTTAACCTTAAGTTTCACTAAGTCTTCAAAATTCGACACATGACAGCAATTTATTTGACATTAAATTTCATTAAGTCTTCAAAATTCGACATATCACAGACATTCGGGTAAAATTGGTGCAGAAAGTGTAAAACATTTATTACATCGAACACCATTACGCCATTAATGCTTGGTTCACGTCATCTGGTACTCAGCAATATTAACCTTCAATATTGCATGATAGTATTATAGAAATGGCATTTTTGCAAGTGTTATATCAGTGCCAGATACTTCAGGAAATGTTGAACACTGCAGAATTTCTCCCTATCTCAAAATTGTTTACTTGTTGCCATCGTTTCTGTTAATTCTGGTGAGGAATACACACCTCGCAAAAACCTGTTTCTTCATTTCTCTTGCTGTTTCGCAAATTTAATACATTCTATTAGTGGATCTCCTTTATTCAACGTTACGCCTTTTAAAAGTTTCTCACCTACTTGCTGTCTCAAGAAATGAGTCATTCGCTTTACACATATTACATTAACCCATGTTCCTCAAGTATGCTCTGAAATAGTTATTCTGATTCAGATTTTGATTAGCACAGCGCCTATATTCTACCTTTTAATTATACATTTGTATGCTGATACTGCAGTTTTCGGTTGTTCTGTAATATTTATGAGCCTTTCCTCTTATAGTCTGCGCCTGTCCCAAGATGTACTACTGCACACAGATCTGGTTGAATACATCTCCTAAAGTTGACATTACAAGAAATTGTGAATATTCTATAGAGATCTGAGCACGAATTCCGCATAGGTATCAATTCCACTTTCAACTCATGCCACCACACATGGCATTTTCCAGTGTCCTACATTTTCAATTATGTTGTATTCTGAATAATTATAATGTTGTCTTAGTCTTTATATTGAATTTAAATCAACTGTAGATAATTAGAAGACCGTCATTTTTTATAAAAGGAACTTAATTTCTTCACAGTCGATTCCAATACTACACTGATACATTTGTACTGAAGTTAAGCTACCCTAATTAAGACCAATAACCTACAGGACTTTCTTCTGACCACTAATTTTCTCAGCGCTTCCAAACATTCGCCAGTGATTTCGGGTTATTTTTATTGGGCTTTCACGGTAATTTCAACGTTGTCAAAGCAATGATGATTACCCAATGGGAAGAGTAGGCACCAGCCTATGGGCCACACGCCTTTTAGGGCTTCCCCACCCCCTCGCGATAACGGATCAAAATAATATTAAATTGATTTGATCTTGACGTATAAGGAGATAATTTGCGAGACTTAGGGGCCTCCACAGGGTTTAATCTGGCACTGATTTAGAGAACTAATGGGTAATAAAATCATATCTTCCCTTTGGGGCTATACTAATCTATTCGGAGTACTAATAAAATAAATAATGGATAAGAAAACCATATCTTCTCTTTGGAGTTATATTCGTCTATATGGAGTACTAATGGACAATAAATCTCCTGAATAGTTTCTTCCTTTTCAGAACCGCTCCGGTTGCCTAGTGGTTAGAGCGTATGCCTCGGATGCTGGAGGTGACGGGTTCGAACCCCGGCTGAGTTATATCAAAGACTTACAAAAATGGTACTAACAGCTGCCTTGCTTGGCGCTCAGCATTAAGAGGTTAGTGTTAGGACTGGTCGGCCTGGTGTCATGATAATGTGACTGGGTGAGACATCATCCTACATGTATGCGGCATGATTATCCAGTGCTAGACATCACTATAAAACTGTTATGCTGCAGACTTCGTAGCGATATGGCTGAAAAATTGTTAAAGCTACGTTAAAACTCTAAATCAGACACACTTCCTTTTCAGTCGATTTTCTTCTATATTAAGCATCAGTGGTTATTCCTCTACATGGAGCACTAAATGCATAATAAAAACCGTATCTTTCCTTTGGGCTATATTCCTCTATTCGGAGTACTAATGGATAATAAAACAATATCTTCCTTTAAGGGTTATAATCTTCTAATGGGCAATAAAACACCAGAATAGTCTCTTCCCTTTCAGCCGATATTCTACTATCTTATGAATCAATGGCTATAAAACCACATATCGCCATTTTAGGGCTATATTCTTCTATATGGAGTACCTTGGTCTCATAAAACCGCATCTACCCTTTGCTGTTTCAGAGCCCTCACTCGTTAATTTCTTTCTTCTTTCTATATGTAACACGTATGTTTCTTAAGACCTGGTACATATGATAAAATTTAATATCAGAGACTTCAAATTTGCTGACCATTTTGCTTTTCTCGACAAAGGCGTATGATTGCCCTGTCGTTTCATAAGAGAACAGATTGAAAAAAGAGGTGTCACGGTTTCATCATTGAGTCTTTTCTTGTAAGAAAAACATAGCTATTAGAATTTGTTGATGCTCTCGCCTTCCTCAGACTTTGCTATTAAATTGGTGCAAAACAGATAACACTATAACTTTCAAAGGACTTGTATCAAATAAACGAATCTTTTGCAGCGCCAGTTTGAAAACTACACCATAGTGGTTTTATTATTATCCTAGTACATGCAACTCTGTGTATGACAGATTTTATTGAAAATTATTGTCACACATTGTTGTAACAATTCTCTGTCACATTTCACAGATAATCGTGAAATTTTGTAACAATTCTCTGTCAGATTTCACAGATAATCGTGAAATTGACCTTGACCTCCAAGATTTTAATTACTTTTAAACTTTCAACAATTCAAAGACTTGTCGCAGGCATGCTATCATCAACACGTTTGCTGTCATAATTATTATGACAATATTAAAACACATTCTTTGCTAATAAATAGTATTCAACGTAAAAGGCTTATTTGTTTTTATGTGATTACATGTAGGTCATAAACATTATTACAACTAAACCTACCTTTAAATTTATCAAATAATCAAAGAAAGAAAGAAAGAAAGAAAGAAAGAAAGAAAGAAAGAAAGAAAGAAAGAAAGAAAGAAAGAAAGAAAGAAAGAAAGAAAGAAAAAAGAGACAAAGAAGAAATGAATGATCTACATACGAAACATTTTGATGAGTACAATATTGGTAATAATGGATACTAATGATGATAGTGAAATTTATATTTAGCTTGATTGCATACTAACTATACAAGGTTCAGTCTATTTCTTTCCACTTGACAACTCTATAAAATCAAGCTCTTTATCATATTTGGGTACCGAATGAAATTCTACTCAATAATTTTTTAAAGAGAATGTTGTTTTACTGCAGTTTGGTCTATATGCGTGTGAATATGACACATTTACATTAATATGTATCAATCTTTAATTTCTTACGTCATATTTTAGCATAGCGTCAATAAAGGTTCGTTAGGCTCAGTTCTGTTTCTTCATCTCTGAAGACGTAAGAATGTAAGTTCCTTTGGCTCAAAACATAACACTTAATTTATAACGGACAGAAACTCTTTCAGCAATAAACTCAATATTTCTGTCTGATTTGTATCTCTTTGGACAAATTAATTTGTAGTTGCTCGAACTAGAAGATCAACTCAAATTCTTTTTCAGCCTTACTGGCTGGAACTTGAAATTTGGAAACAGAAACCCCTCAAAGCATTGGGTTTTGGTCCATGTTTTTGAGAGTAAAATAATATTATTTATTTTTATGGGAAACAAGAATGTTCCTTATTTATCAGTGCTCTTTATTGTAGCCTGTTCCTTTCGTTATTTTTGACAGGACAGCGAAATGACCAATACACTTTTGTCATTTTAAAAACTGCTTTATTTTTTATATTTTTTTAAAATATTTTTTAATACTTTTTTATTGTTTGCTGTGTCAGTATGGCATCTCAGACCTATCCAAATATGTATAATTGTCCTTACATCCCTGCCACAACCCTTCCTGCTTTGTATTTTAAACATATTCTTCTCGTTTGTTATACTTCATTGGTTATGGCTCCGGCATCCCGCACTGTTGTGTATCGATTCTGTAATCTGGTTCCCTGGTTAGTTATCTCCATGCGTTACACTCCGCTATACTAAGTCTCAGTGGAGTGCAGCGCAGGGAGCATAGTAAGAAGGAAACTAGACTACTGATTTTGTTAGTTCCCCGCTGTACCACAAAATCGATTCGACACATGGAGTGAAATGGTCTGGTGGCCTAATTAACTCATGAATAGTCTTCAATGAATTCGAATTGCTTCTTGATTGCTGTGTGCGATGACGTATGTAGTTTGAACTCAAACTTAGCAACCAGCCGAACAGTGATGTAACATGGTACATTACACTATATATATTTAAGGCTGTATGGAAATGCATATCGTACTTATTACGGTAAACTTGCAGCTGTCTGTACTATTGTCTTTGTGATCCAACACTGACGGACAATGCCCAAGTTGGAGCGACTGGAAATCGTGTTGGAACCGCACCAGATGGTCTATCTAGCCGGACAATGCGTGCAAGGGAAATTAGTCATCGTGCTAAATGCAAGCATGAAGATGAGAGGTAATTTTGTGTATTTTATTAAGCGTGATTGATATAATTTCAGTGTAGTTACCCCGACGTTAATAATATAAATTTACATTTAAGGGTTTGTGTGCAAATCTTCGTAAAGACGGCATAGTAACATAAACAAGGATATGTCGCTTTTTATAATTTAATCTGTCCCAGACGGGGCCGCAGACAGGATAACTAGGGCTCACAGCAGTCAGCGGCCTACCGCCTTCAAACTTTGTAATTCATAGAGGCCTAGTAGAGAATATTTCTATCGCCCACGAATCCTATCCGCGGCCCAGTTCCCAGGAACAGGTTAAAGCTTTGGGAAAAGATCATTACAAATTTAGTGACGGAAAGGCCAGGAAAAATTAAGTTTTAAATACTTTGCTCCCCTATGCCTTTATGGGCAAGCTCATTAGCTCTCAGAAATAACAACAACAACGACAACAACAACAACAATAATAATAATAATAATAATGATAATAATCCAGATTACTTAATCTTTATATCCAACCAAACCTTTTGCGAAACCCAATATACTGTTGTTAAATTTAAACAGATTCGAAAAAAGATTTAGACATCCGAAATTAGATTTCAGTAATTTGTTCTGTACAGAACGAAATGTCTTGTATTAACATTCGGTGTGTCAAGTGGAACATATACTGAGAGAGAGAGAGAGAGAGAGAGAGAGAGAGAGAGAGAGAGAGAGAGAGAGAGAGAGAGAGAGAGAGAGAGAGACTTACCTAAATGAATTTTCCTGGCATTCTTCTCCATTTGCTCTCAACAGCACTTTACAGATTTTTGCACTCAAATACAGCTGAAGTCTATAGGCGTAACTACGGTCGTTTAGTTGATCTTTATATGCAAACCTGGTATTCCATTATACAAATGATCTTGAGCTGCAGAATTGTATTCTAATCTGTTGTGAGATGCATCAGTCAGAAATGGTGTGATTTTAACCATTTTGACAGAAACGAGGGTATATTAAATAACTTAATAAACACACCCGTTTCATGTCAAGCAAGCAAGTCTTTTTCTTACCTTGACTATTTTATTTCATTCTTTTTGCAAGCGGTTAATGCTTTTCTTATCAATATTCATTTCGTTACGAGGAATTGAAGGGCTAGTTCATATATATTATCATAATTATTTCTAATGGAAAAGTACGACACTATCTGTATATGTACGGCATGGGTTGAAGTGGGCGTAAAGGAACGGATATCGTTCTCTTGTTTGAGGTTGGTCTTTTGCGTTAAGGAAGTTAAAAGTATCATCCGTCTGCTTATTAAAGGTGAACTATATGCCTGGCCAACATATATACATATCTTAATCCTATAATATATATATATATATATATATATATATATATATATATATATATATATATATATATATATATATATATATATTGATTGATTGTTACGTGACAAGGACTCGACTCGTACTCAGTAACAAAGAAAAGAGTGAAAGCCAACAAGCTTTATGTTTTAACAAAATAATTTATTTCCCAATAAAAACAATGTAAAAATTGGTAAATATGACTTACAGTTTGTAAATATAATCCAAACTTTTATCCTAAGAATTAAAACAAGTCCTATAGCTAAATAGTTCTAGTTTTAGAATCCAGGTTAGAATCTCGACGACATACAAATATGGGAGATGATGACGTCAGTTGTGGTCCCATGTACGAATAAAAACAATTCCTTTCTTGAATCACAGTTTTTGTTTCAAAATAATTACAGAATAAATTTCCATGAATATCATTCAGAATTTTTTTTTTTAAGAATGTGAACTTTTTGAGTTTCTAGGAGAATAAATTATTAAATCCAATAATTAGATGAAAAACAATCTGGCAACAAATTAAAATAACACCTTGTGCCTTAAAGATGTTAAAACGACTGCCGGATGAATATTAGAAATGCGTAGATAAACCCAAAATATAATCATTTCAAGTCTCGCGAGATTGGTCATATGGTCTCTTACTACAAGAAATCCAGCACGTACGCCAGTGTAGCCCCACTTAAGAACCAATAATTAAATAGCGTTATAGGGCAATCACGCTAGGAAAGAATGGCCCTGATACTTACGCTGTTGCCAACCCAAAACCAACTAGGGTAACTAAAAATA